CCAGGCAACAGTGGAATGTGATGGCTATAATAATTCTAATACCACCACTCTCCAATCCTATCCAAAACAAAGTCAAGTGTGGATGAATTATTTGCACTGAATAAGCACTGCACCAGTAATGTCAGCCTCTCTTTTTTGTTGCATGCACGGGATGGACAATGATAAACACAAGTGTTCCCTCTGCATTAATAGGCCCTTTTTGGTATATCATCATTGTATCCCTGCTTGCAATTTGGAAGAAAAAATGTGTAAGGAAATTGGCAGAAAATGGACACAGATGTCCAACTTTTGAATGTCAGGACACAAAGACAGAAAAGCATCAGAAATGTGCATTTAGGCCCTAGGTAAGGGTAGGAATCATGTGTCCCTCTAAAAGTTGGATTGCACTTCCCAGAACTCTACATCATTGACTGTGCTGTCTGGGGCTTCTGGTTGCCACGTGCTCTATCCTACAGAAAATACAGTCCTTTGTCTGAAGGCATCTTCTGTTGGAAAGGATGCTGGTTTAAAGGAGGAGACTCAGATGGTAAAACAGGGAGTGGCTTTGAAATGGCCCATTTGCACTTAGCCCTGAAGTGGCAGATGGAGCCAAAGTTTGGAAATGTTACATTGGGGTCATTCACACTATGTTATAAACCGATTTGCAAGCCAGTTTAAAAGGGGGTTGTTCACACTTGAATCAGTTTGCAAACCATTTTAAACGTGGATTAGTCACACTTGAATTGGGTTTTTCCAACCTGAATAGGGGTGGGCCCATGTCAAATCCTCCTTAGCATGGGTTTCCCGATAATGAGTTTCTCCCCGACCCTTTTCCAAAACACCGGGTTTTATCAGGGTGCTTCCAATGGGAACTTGCTCCCGATTCCCATTCAGGGCATCCTGAAGGGAGGGGATTAATGGGCAAAGGGTGGGCAGAGGAGCAGAACATGCCCATCCCATCATAGGTTGCAGAGTGAGTGGCAAGCACCATTTTTGTGATAAAACATCCATGTAAGACTCAGCCAGGCTTATTAGGGGAGATACTGGCTTTGAGATAAATAGAACATCCAAAACAATATGGAGTACAAAAGTTTTTAAAAGCATTAAATCATACATCCAATGAAAACACTAATTTTAATACTTTAGCAATTGAAACAATTAAAATGATTAAATACATTGTTGTTGTTAAGTGCCTTTGAATAAAAATTGATGCATGGCAACCCCATGAATGAGACACCTGCAAGCTCCCCCAGCCTCAGCCGCTCTGTTCAAACCCTGCAGGCTCAGGGTAGCTTTGTCTTGGTTTGAATCTATATATCTAGCTTGTGGTTTTTCTCTCTTTCTGTTACTCTTCACTTTTCCCAGTAGCCTTTTCTAGTGAGCCTTTGCATTCTCATGATATGGCCAAAGTACAATAGCCTCAGTTTAGTCATCCTGGAGCCATGGTGACATAGTGTTTAAATGCCAGTACTGAAGCCACAAGGTTGTGAGTTTGATCCCAGGGCTCTAAGGTTGACTCAGCCTTCCATCCTTTCATAGGTTGGTAAAATGAGTACCCAGCTTGTTGGAGGCAATTGGCTTACAGGTTGCAAAGTGCTTAGAGAGTGCTGAGTTCACTGGTAAGTGGCATGTAAATGTAAATGCTATTGTTATTGCTATTCTGGCTTCCAGGAGAGTTCAGGCTTGATCTGCTCTAGGACCCATTTATTTGTCCTTTTGGCTATCCATGGAATCCTCAATACTCTTCTCCAACACCACATCTCAAATGAATTTATTTTCCTTTTATCAGCTTTCTTCACTGTCCAGCTCTCACATCCATACATGGTGATGGGGAATACAATGACTTGGACGATCCTTACTTAAATGCATATCTCCTACTAAAAAAGCACACCTAAATGTATATTACTCTACCCTGATCAGTTAAGGCTGAAGGCCTTGTTTAAACAAGAAAGTATTTATCTTCTAGTGAAAAGACTAGCAAGGTGGTAGCAGATCGAATTTCCATCAGGAGAGAGTTCCAAAGCCTAGGGCCACCACCAAGAAGACTATCTCCTGTGTCCTCACTAGCCAAGCTTAGGAGGGTGGTGGGATGAGGAGAAAGCCTTCCCTCAAATACCATAAGGCTCAGGAAGGCTTATTAGGGGAGATACTGGCTTTGAGATAATCTGGACCTAAGCTGTGTAGGGCATTATTAGCCAAAACCAGCACTTTGAATTGTGCCCAGAAATTGACTGGCTGCCAATCAAGCTTTTTCAACAAGGGAGTTATATGCTCCCAGTAACCAGGCCCAATCAGCAGTCTAGCCACAGCATTTTGAACATGCTGAAGTTTCTGAATAGTTTCCAAAGGTAGCCCCAGGTTGTTGTTGTTGTTAATTGTCCTTGAGTCAATCTTGACTCATGGTGACCATAGGGATGAGCCATCTCCAATACCCTCTGTCATCCACTGCTCTGCTTATTTTCTGCAACCCCTCAATAACCATGACTGCCTTAATAGAGTCCATCCATCTGGAATGTGGCCTTTCTCTCTTCCTACTTCCCTCCACCTTCCCCAGCCTTATTGTTTTTCCAAAGAGTCCTCTCTTCTCATTATGTGTCCAAAGTATGACAGCCTCAGTTTGGTCATCTTGGCTTCCAGGGAGGTTTCTGGTTTGATTTGCTCTAGGACCCATTTGTTTGTCCTCTTGGCTGTCCATGCGATCCTCAACACTCTTCTCCAGCACCACATTATCTCCAATGCATTGATTTTCTTCCTATCATCTGTCCAGCTCTCACATCCATCCATGGTAATAGGGAATATGATGGCTTGTATGATTCTAACTTTTTTGCTGAGTTGTATATCTTTACATTTTAGAATCTTTTCTAGTTCTTTCATAGGCACCCTCCCCATTCTTAGTCTTCTTCTGATTTCCTGACTACAGTCCCCATTTCTATCAATGTTTGATCCCAGGTATGGGCATTCTTTTACTATTGCTATTTCTTCATTGTCTAGGTTGAACTTGTGAAGGTTCTCGGTGGTCATTATTTTTGTTTTCTTTATGTTCAGCATTAAGCCCCAGGTAGAGTGTGTTATTGCCCAGAATAACTGAGAGATTCATAAGTAATTGCTGGCAATTTCTTTGCTTGTGTGATAGTGAATCCACGATGGCTTCTAGTTTAAACTTTAAAGGAGCTAAGATGCTGAACTCTCACTATCAAATAGGTTCAGATGAAAACCTGTAGTGGCGTCACTGCTCCAGGAACAGGGAACTACCAGCTCCTACTGGGAATTCTGGAAGCTGTAGCCAAAAAAACCCTAACTTTCCTTATATATGTTCAATATGGATAGGGTTTTCATCTGTCCAATAAAACAAATAGAATTGAATTCTTTGGTTCTCTAAGCATGGGGGAAGGCATTATTAGGACCTAACTTGGGGAACTGTCTCCTGAAATAAGCTGTCATTTTTGAAGGATTTGGTCCAAAGATTATATGATTCCAAACTGACAGAAAATGGCACATGGGCAGTTATTTTCACATTAAATGCCCTTTCCTATCTTGATGATATAAAAGCTTGGAAAGGTTAGGTAACAGCCGATCGATTGAAGCCGACATAAGTGGCAAAGGTGGTGGGGAGATGGAAGCCCAGTTGTGTGTGCGGGTGTGCTGCTGGGGAAGTTAAATAAACTGTTCTTTGACTTTATTGCTTAGAAGGGCAATATCAGGTCAAACTTGGCTGTGTTGGGTTTGGCTTTTAAAAAGCAAGCTTTCCCAAAGCTGGAGGCCCATAAAAATTGATTGTGTAAAAATTAAAGCAAAATCCAATGAGAAAGTCAACCTTTTTGACACCTAATTTCCCCCTTCTCCCTGACCCCTTTATTTATTTATTTATTTATTTATTTATTTATTTATTATTTTGGAAGTCATTTCATACTGCAGGAGGTGATGAGAATACAGTAATTCTATTTTTCTCCTTCTCCCTTGCATGGCTTGTAGGAGTATCAGAGGGGACGTTGCAACACACATCTTCTGCAGAATTGTATTTGCCTTAGCAAGAGATAATCCATCATTGGCCTTGAGCTTGCACTCAACAATAAATCATCAGATGTTTCTCAGTTATCTTTATGTGGTTCATCATTAGTTTCCTTTTGATGAGAGAGCACTTTCAGTCCAATAAAATGTAGTGCAGGATCATGATGGTGGTAGTGCCAGCAGTAGTTGTCACAATAATAATCAGAGTTAGTATTAGTACTGACATTCACAATAGCCTGTTGTCTGGAGGCAGTGATGGACTGGATGTAGGCTAAAAAGTTGAACTTTTGTTCAAGCAAGACTAAACTACTTTTAATTAGAACAGGGTAACCTAGAACTGGGGATACAAACTGGATGTGGATTTATTACTTATTATTGGATATATTCATAGCAGAAATGGCCATAGTGTGGCTTGTGGCCATTCGGCCCATGGATGCCACTTCTGTGGCCCCTGAAGATCACAACAGTCCCCCACTAAATCCTCTTTAAAAAAATGAGCATGATTATTGAGCAATTTTTGCCTTAAACCATGCAGAACCCCCACCCCTCAAACTCAGGAAAACAAACAAAACACCCCACCTTGTCCCCCACAAGCACCCAACATTTAGTATTACCCCCAAATAACTTAAATTTCCTCTGCTGTCCCTCTCAACATGATGACAGATCAGTTTGAAAAGATGGGGGTAATTGGTCTTGTAGTATGTGCGGACAGGAGTGTGTGTGCATGCATGTGTGGGTGTCTGTGAGCCAACATGGTCCCTGGCACCAAATAGTTGCCCACTCCTAAATTATAGCCTGCCTTCCTTTCAATGAGCTCAAAGTATACATAGTTCTCCTCATCACAATGATCCTGTGAGGTGGATCAGGCTAAGAGATAGTGACTGGGCCAACTGAGTTTCCTGATTGAGGCTGCATCTGCATTGCAGAAATAATGCAGTTTGATGCCACTTTAACTTTTATGGAATCCCGGGATGGGTTGTTCCATATAAACTGGCTCCATCTCCTTTGTGACAGGCAGTATGGTGTAGTGGTTTGAGTGTTGGACTATGACTCTGGAGACCAGGGTTCAAATCCCCACTCAGTCACAGAAACTTGCTAGGTGATCTTGGACAAATCACACTCTCTCAGCCTCAGAAGAAGGCGAAAGCAAAGCTTCTCTGAACAAAATCTTGCCAATAAAATATTGCAATAGGTTTGGCTGAGGGTCATCCTAAGTCAGAAACAATTTGAAGGAAAACAACAATTACATTTATTACAACCATGCTATAATGTAGGTCAGTATGTACTCCGGTGGGTAGTAGGGATGGAGAAAATATTTACAAATATTTGAAAAATTGTCAGAAAACGTGTATTTCATGTGTTGAGAAATTCTGACAGGAAGAATCATGGATGACAAGAATCTTTGCAGTTATACTTATTATGCACAATATTCACACATGACTGTTTTGCATAGGAAACAGCATTTTCTGCACATGAAATAACATTTTCTTCACAGAAAACAATATTTCTTGTGTAGAAAAGTACTATTTCCAGAGCAAAAAGTGCTGTAGCTGGGGAATTATTCTGTGCAAAATCTGCACATGGTTGATTTCCATAGAAAACAACATTTTCTGTACAGGAAACAGCTTTTTATGAACAGAAAAATAATATTTCTGCCTAGAAGCATTATTTGCTGTATAGAAAAGGCTGTTTTCAGTGAAAAATAACAACATGAAATGTTGCACTGAATAAGACTGAATACTTCCTTGCAGTGGGAAGAAAATCGTTAAAATTACTTGTTGCTTCCTTCAAGAGGCCCAATAAAAATTACACCCCTAGTGAATAGTAGGTTCTCCTCCATCTTCATCACAGGAACAATAATTATAAGAAGCAACATTAGAATTGTGAATAAAGGACAAGCTTAATAAACATTAAAAAAATCCCAGGAAATTTGCATAACATTTGCATATGCTAACTTCCATTTATCAGGGACTTCAGAAATACCTATTCTAATTTGATTAGAAATGCAACACCCATGGCCAGGTGAATTGTGTCCCAGATCAATTTGCTGTCCACTTGATATAGGCTGATGGGCAAATTTGTGGTTCCCTTTATCTCCCTTTTTAGGGCTCTCTATCTTTCAACTGGACTTGAAATGAACAGCACTTCAAACAGAGGTTGTCTTCACACAGAGGGGTGTTCCCTAGATAGGAGGATGCAAACACCTAACTTTAGATTGACCAATCCCACCATTGGTAATAGGAATCTCATAGGAAGATGCAATGTGTCTTAGACCTTTTCTGCACTGGCTGGGATACTCTTGGATATGGAGTTTCATTGTTTTATATTTTGATATCTATAGCCAGGCATGTTTTCAGAGGTCACAATGACCTTTGGAACACTAGGAAATTTCCCATGGGAAAAAGCACGTTGACCCGAAGACATGTGGAGGATCTAGATAATACCATAATAAATGCAGAATGGGTTGCTGATCACTCCATCCTCCCCATTGTTCTAAAGGGTGTAGACCATATCTCTTACCTACCCCCTGTCATGTTCCCAGCCAATTTTCCTATCTATCTATCTTGGGGTTTTCCCATATGCAATCACTGATTTGTTAATCCAGAGTTAAGACCACCTACCAAAATGACCCTTTTTGTCAATTCCATGGAAAGCAATTGAACTCTTTGTACTTTGTTTTGGAACATTAAGTATCCCTTGAAAGTACCAAACAGGATATAAATATCCAAGCCACATGTGGTCAGTCTACATGCCTCGTCTCCCCATATCGTCCCCAGATGTCATCTGAGCCACACTCCTCTTTTCCATAGATTCATCTTCAGGACTGGTAAATAGCACCCCTCTAAACTCTAAGCCTTCACTATCCAATTTTTCAAATCTCTACTTTGGTTGGCCTTGTATGGTGTTTCAGATTGGACTGGTACTGTATGTTGGTTGCACTGTTTTGCATATTTCTAAATAAAACCATCTTTATTCACCAATTAGTTAGTGCAGTTAGTACTGGTATGCATAGGTGAAACAATCCCACAGTTACCCACCTCTTGTAGGCCTCCTTTGAGCTAAGCAATTCTCCCAGCTTTTAAGGAGACAGTGACACAGTTGGTGGGGAATCCAAGTCCTCCCCCCCAACTTTTAAGGGAACATCGCTACTGTCAGTTGCTTGCTTCTGAGGTCAAAATGAGGCATCCAGTGATGATCATAGGGCTGGGCACCTCATTCTGGCCTGAGAGAAAGTGCCTGGCAACAGTGGTGGATGTGCCAGTGGGATACGTGTCCAGACAGCCACCCCAGTGCAGGAACACAGGGCTCCAGATGCTCCTGGAAGATCTGAAGTAAGAAATAAGTTTTAAAAAATTGTGTTAAGGGTGTTGTACCCCAGGTCTGGTGCTGAACTGGCAAGATGTTGTCTGGACTGTTTACACCAAGACTAAGGTTTAGGCTGTGAATTGTCCAAACAGGACACTGGCAGAATAGAGCAAAATGGGCCTTTTGGCTCAAGTGGGCAGAGCACACATGCAAAAGGGAACTAAATTCCCCACAAGCCTGCAGAAAATGGGATGATCTCATTTTTCCAAAGTGCATTCAGCACTACAATGAGTATTTTTGTTAGTTTAATAAAACTGAGCATGATGCTGAAGGTATATTTCAATAGGGTTCCAACTGGGATCAGTGTGCCACTGTTTTGAAGGTTTCATTACCATGAAGGAGAGGCCTAGTTGTGGGACAGGAGAAACAACTCTTCAGTATAGAATGACTACCTTGGGATATTCTGTAGGAAACCATTTTGAAATCCTATTTATTGCTGTAACATCATTAAAGAAATATGAAAGACTTGTATTCTGGTGCAGTGCTTTTGTGAAACAAGATGGTGCTTCCAGATGATTGCTTGCACAACACTTTCTGTTATCTTGTTATTGCTACAAAATATATTCAAAGATTCTCCCCCTTTCACTGTCTCATTCTTTTTCATAGTCACCACTTTCTGCTAGTAATTGTTTATAGACCTTCAAAGGATTCACTTCTCCTAGCAGAATTTGATGTTTCAGTTAGGATAAGAAGACTGAAAATGAGAGGCAGAGATTCCTGGAAGTTGTGCTGCAATACAACACTGTCAAAAAATAGAATGAAGCTTCAAGGAACCTCACACAAAGGAAAATGAAAAACCACCCTCCTTTAAATAAATGGTCATCTTTCTCTCTCTGTGTGAATCTACATTGTAGAAATAACACAATTTGACACCACTTTAACTGTCGTGGGTCTATCCTGCAGAATCCAGGGATCAGTAATACTATGAGGCACCAGCACTCTTTAGCAAAGAAGGCTACAGATCTTGTAAAACTACAGATTCCAGGATTTCATCGGATGAAGCCACAGCACTTAAAGTGGTGGTAAATTGCATTATTTCTACAGTGTAGATCAGGGGAAGGCAACCTATTTAAGACCTGGGCCGGTCTCCCGTAGCCCAGGTCTCAGCTGGGCCGAGGGGGGGGGGAATGGTGGCGCGCGACCCCCCACGCATGCTGCTGCCGCCACCGCCACCGCTGCCGCAGCACGCAGACCACAGCCACCGCGGCGCATGTCACGGCCACCATTTTGGAAATCAAAATGGCAGCTGCAACACATTTGCGCATGCGCAAGAGTACTGCGCATGCGCAAACGCGTCACGACCGCCATTTTGATTTCCAAAATGGCTGTCATGGTGAGCGCGGCCGCAGAGTGGCAAAAATGCGCTGCGGTGGTGGCGGCAACCTTCAGCCTGAGCCGGTAAGTCCAGGGAACGGGGCCTTAACCGTCCCCCGGGCCGTAGGTTGCCAGTCCCTGGTGTAGATGATGCACCCCTCCCTGGTAGTCTCTCTCTCACTCTTTTGGTAAGGTTTACTGGAAGCTACACAATTGCAACAACATCATATACATTGCACTAAGCTGAGATGTGCGTGTGTTTTAAAAAAAACACACATAAAACATGGCATATTGAAAAGCATTGAGAAGTTAGTTTTTGGACTACAGTATCCAACTAATATGTTACTGGTCTTTGCGATCTTGGGTAGTGTCTTCTACACATGTTTTAGTTTGTTGGTATCCTTCTTAAACTGTGGTGTCCAGAACTGGACAATATTCCAGTTGAGATCTGACCAAAGCAGAATAGATGGGGTAATATTCCAGTGCAGAAAAAATGGTGAGTGGTCAGATCTTATGTACGCACAACATAAACACCCCCTCCCAGTAGAATATAATAATATTATGGAGTCATCAAATTCAAGCAACAGCTTTAAAAATGCAGCACATTAGTCAGGGATAGTGTTGATTTTATTTTAAAGGTCTTCATATTTTTCTTAAAAAGCAGCCTTCACAAAGCTGCATGTATTTCCCTAGGGAGGAAATTCTAAAGGTGTAAACAGTGTATCTAAAAGCTGTTTAAACAGTTGACTAAAGCATTTTATCCAGGACTGCCAAACAACTAGACATCAGTAAGCCAAATAATTTAGTATTAGGGCTAAAGGATTTTGAGCTTAGAGGAGGGCCACAACAGAACAGGCAGGAGAACAAGAAGGTATCTGCAGTATATAGCTATTGCAGTTTGATAGCACTTTATTTCCTATGGCTCTATTGTAGTGATGTAATTCATCACTAATTTTTTCTTGAAGCAAGAAACAAGTAATTTTAGTAATTTTCCTCCTGCTGTGAGAAAGTCTTTGAAAACTATACCAGTTTTGAAGTCTATTAGCAATTCAGGACTCATTCTGTGAAAAATTTGTATGTGGTTGATTTGCACAGAAAACAGCACTTCCAGCAAAGGAAAAAGTGCAGATTTTTTTTATTTATTTTTTTGCAGTTAGGCTCTTGATTATGGCATTTCTTTTGCAAGGAAACAATACTTTCTGCATGTATTTTTTATGCAGCAATATTATTTTCTGTGTAGAAAATGCTTTCTCCTGCATGGAAAATACTGCTTTCTGTGGGGAAAAAAATCCAGAAAGAATAAATGTAGAATAAGTCCCCAACTGCAAAAGTGTTTATCAATCTAGAATTCATCAGGTTTCATGAAAAAGGGAAAAAAAAAACAACAACAATTATTTCTCTTTTG